TCAGACTAAAGGAGGTGGAAAGAATGTTTCACAAATGACGGAGTTCAAGCATTAGACAATAATGAAAAGGTCAGGCAACTGTATTGATTAGAACGGGACATGAGGAAACTATATAGTGAGGGAAATGTTCTATATCTTATTACAGTAATGGTTTTATATACATACATATATGTATATGAGTTAAATACACATAACTGTATACTTTCGATCCATGCATTTTACTGTTTGTAATTAAAGACAGAATCATACACACACACACACACACACACACACACACAAAGATACATATATTCTTTTGAATTATAGGCAAACTGGTCCTCAAAGGCTGAAAAGGCAGAAAAGATACCAACTAGATACTATATGACAATTTAATTTAAGCAATATAAACCTAATCCATTGCTTTCCCCTTAATTCATCTCTGGATTGTTTCATTATAAGAAAACTATATTCCTAATTATGATAATTCATAATTCAACCTGTTCATCTATCCAAGACGATGAAGATCTTAACTTTAACTTAATTTGTCAAATTCCATGAATTTGAGAATTCTGTAAAATATTGGGAAATTTTAATAAAAATCTAGGATTTTGCATTCATTCCCAATTTTAATTTCTTAGTCCAATTAAAACTAAAAGTGAAAATAGATGAATTATTGGTGTTGAACACATCATGGGCACAAATGAACACAAGGAGACTTCTGGGGTAATAAATGTGTTCATTATCTTGATTGTGGTATTGTAGTGATCATTTCTTGGGTGCATTTATATGTAAAACTTACCAAACCATACACTGTAAATTTATGCACTTTAATGTATATCAATTGTAACTTTAAAAAGTACATATACACTGTGCAAATGAATACATACACATACAACCAACAAGTCTGCTAAAACTAGTAAGACTAACAAAACCAAATTTTGTAAGAATATAGAGCAACCATAATTTCATACATTGTTGGCAGGAATGCAAAAAGGTACAAACACTTTGGAAAAGGTTTGGCAATTTCTTATAAAACTAAGCATACATTAGTTCATGACCAAGTAATTCCATTCCTAATTATTTACTCAAGAAAAGTGAATACATAAGAGATTGTTCAAGAGAGTTCTTAACAGTTTTTTTCATAACAACTAAAAACTGGAAACAGCTCAGGTGTCCATCAGCTGGAGGACAGATAAACAAAATGCAGCATCTAAATAATGGAATAACTACCAGCAATAAAAAGGAACAAACTACTTATGCAATCAATAACACAAATGAGACTCAAAATATTATGCTAAGTGAAAGAAGCCTTATACAGAGTGCACATGTATGATCCTATTTATATAAAAAAGCAAAGCTAATCTATGATATAAAAAAGCAGAACAGTGATTGCCTCTTGGGGGTGGTGGGAAGAGCAGGAAGAAACAGAATTGACCTCTTCTAGAGTGATGATAATGTTCTGTAGCTTGAAAGGGTTTATTTGGCTTACACAGAGGTCAAAGCTCATGGAATGGTGGGTATACTTAAGATTCGTGCATGTCATTGTAAATTTTACTTCAAAATGAAAAAAAAGAATTGTAAATAAACACTGACTAGCTAATGACACACATGCTCAAGTGTTTGGGGATAGGATATATTAATGTCTGCTACTTTAAAATGCAACAAAACATGGCTTGATGGATGGATAGATAAGTGATAAAGCCATGTATAATGACACATTAAAAGAATCTAGGTGGTGGGTATATGGGTATTCATTGTACAATTCTTCCAACTCTTCTAGATGTTTGAAAAGATTCATAAGAAGATCCTGGGGAAAAAATCAGTTTGTAAGACAGTAGTGATTCCATTTTTTGCACATTTATTTATGTCTGTGTATTCATGGACCAGTATATATGAAATATATGCATACATGTTTATGTATGTTGTACATTCAACTGCTCCCTCTCAATCAGATAGATCCTTCCAATTCACTTAAAAAAATACTCAAGTTCCTCCTCTTTCCAAATGATACAAACAAACAAAAAAGAAACTTCCTCAAAATTCCATCTTCCTTCAGCTACTAGTAGGTCACTTTTGTTCCTTTCAAAGCCACCTTTCTTAAAGAGGTAAGCATACTTCCCATGTCTATGCCTTCACCTACTTCATCTGGCTTGTGCCCCCCGCCCCGAATTCCAGCAAAATAGCTCTTGTTCAAGATACCAGTAATTTCCAGTGTCACTAGATCAAATGCACATTTTAAAATCCTCATCCCTTGAAGAATGTAAAATATTGAGCTGACGTTTTTAAATCTGAAATGAGGGAAACAAACTTTATTTCGTACATAAACCAAACTTTAGAAAAAAAAAAAAGTTCAATTTCATATTATGGTTAAGTCAGAATGTGAGAAGGGGAAAACTTAAGGGATGTTATCAGAAAAAAGGAAAAAAATGAATAAGATTATACTACAGTCCAAATGGTAAATGCCAATGGTAATAAATGCCAACAGTAAATTTTCATAGACCATTTTCACCTAATTCTACTGTACTTTGAAATTCTACTAAACTCATTAACTATTGTCCACATTTCTTCAACTGGTTTAGTCATTGTATTTATAGAAGCTCCACCTTAAATGGATCTCCCAAACTCCTATTCATGTAGAAATTATTCTCTAAGCTATAAGAATAATAACCAGGGATGTAAGTCTGCAAGGATCAGAAAAATCCAGCTAAGTATCAAAACTAGTATAGAAACTATGTCCTAATCTTCAGAAGATAAGCCCTCAAGACTTTCAAAGCACATTCAAAACACAATTGAAAGCCTTCCAAGGATTTCAGTGTCAGGTAATATAAAATTGTGCAGTAAAATTACTTTAAAAAATACATCATAAAATAAAGGAAATTTCTTTATAACATGGACTTCAGAGATGAAAGCTAAATTTGAGCCTAAAACATGCATAAGAACTTGAATTGTATATGGTAGTTTTAATGGGAGGAGATTCCCAACTAGTTCCCAAAAAGGTCCCTTTTAGTAGCACGCTGTTTCTGATTTTGCAGATTAGCAGGCATTGATTGGCTAGTCAAAGAAGTGTGGGAAAAGACATTCTAGCATGGACAAAAACAATAAAACTGTATGTAAAGATAGTCATATTAGTTATTTATAGTTATAGTTATTTATTTTCGTCTAGTATTCATCCGTATACCTTGGTCACAGATGATAGTTTCCTAAAGGCTCCTTTCTTTATTCTTGCCACCTATTCTCCCAAGAAAGTAAATCTGTTTATTCCATAAGCAATTATTTAGCACCTTCAATGTGCAAACCTAGAACTATGTGCATTGCCTGAACTTAAAGGGACAAACAGTATGGCTAATGGTGATACACTATGATTACTGAAGGACTTAGTTTTACTCTAGCTTTTTACATCAGAGCTGTATATATAATTGCATTATTAGGCTATTTTTTAAAGATTTTATTTATTTGAGAGAGTAAGAGAGAGAGAGCGAGAGAGCACACACACGTGAGCAGGGGGAGGGGTGGAGAGAGAAGGAGAGGGAGAGAGAGAATCCGAAGCAGACTCTGAGCTGGGCGCAGAGCCTGATGTAGGGCTCGATCTCACGACCCTGAGATCATAACCTGAGCCGAAACCAAGAGTACGATCCTTAACCCACTGAGCCACCCAGGCACCCCTAGACTATTTTTAAATGTTGAAATTAGTTTTTCACTTACCTTTGAGTTCCACTAACAATGGAGGTGTCATGAAGAATAAAATTATAGTGGCATAATTCAATTATAATGAAGGAAACACAGAAGGATTTAATCAGAAACTAGACAAACACTCCTGAAAAACTAGAGTAATTGTATAGTATAAAGTCTAGCTTCAGAACTCTAACCTTTTTAGATCACAAACCTTTGTGATAAGCAGCTTCTAACAGGGCTCCCAATAATCCCCACCTGCTGGTATCCACAGCCCTATTTAATCTTCCCCCTTGAGTAAGAGCTGAACCTAGCAACTTGCTTCTAAAGAAGCAAATATGGCAAAAGTGAAGGGCTGTCTCTTCTGTGATTAGGTTACAAAAGACCATGAGTTCCCTCTTACTCATGTTCTCTCTTGCCCTCTGACTTGCTCTCCCTGAAGAAGCATGCTGCCATGTTATAAGAAACTCCAGTAAGAGGCCCATGTAGCAAGGAACCAAGGGAGCCCTTCACCAATAAATAGCTCATGAGAAACTGAGGCCTCAGTGTAACATCCCACAAGGACCTGAATCCTGCCAACAACCCCATGGCCATGAAGGGAATCCGCCCTAGTCCAACCTTGAGAGGACTGCTGCCTTGTGAGAGGCAGAGCCAGAGGACCCAGCTAAACTGCACCCGGATTCCTGACCCACAGAAACTGTAATATGATAAATGCATACTCTTGTAAGCTGCTAAATTTTGGAGTAATTTGTTATACAGCAATATATAACTAACATACACTCCCTCTGAAAAAAGCACGTAAGTATACAAATTCTGGCACCCATTTTAGGGAAATAGGAAGCCTCTCTGAAGTCCATCAATGGAATTCCTAGTGGTCCAGGGATCCCAGATTAAGAAACTTCTGATATGATAAACTCTAAACAATATACACAAAAGGCCTGCAAGAAATCAATTTAACCATGTTATGTAGCTTAACAAATGTCAGAATACTTTCCTTCCATACAGTACTGCTAAGAAAGTTAAACTACTTTAAATATAATTGATATCTTAGTACTAGTATTACCAAAGGTAAAATCAAGCCAAGTTATACCAAAACATTATTTTGAATAACATATTTCACAAATACTAAATAAGTACTGAGGATAAAATAATGACTACATACCATCCTAATTTTGAGGATTTTCCTGGCCAGTGGGTGAGAAACACACACAAACACACACACACACACACACACACAAAACAGCTACCATAAGAGTTGGGAGTACAAACAGAGATTTGTATATGGTATCCATTCATGTACATAATAAAATGACTTTAATGAATTTTAGTTATAATGCAATTAGCAGAAATACCTGTACTGTTTTTCCAAGTCCCATGTCATCACCAAGAATACATCCTTTTCCTTGGATGAAGTGTGCATAGAGAAACTGGGCTCCTTCCCTTTGGTAGTCTCTCAAATACCTGTTAATAGTATAAGGAATAGAGACTCCATCTTCAGATAACGGAAAAGCAACAGCAGATGATGGAAATTTTCGGTCTGGGAAATAAGGTTTTTCCAAATCTTCATCATCAAATATAAAATTCCTGGAGCAATCTTTACGAGATTTTACTTCTTGAAGTCTTTTAAGAGGTACTTTTCTTTCTTGAAAATCTGAATATAAGATGATTGCAAATGACTTCCCATTTTCATCCACTGTGATAGATTTTATGCTTGCTTCACAAAGTGTCCCATTATCTGGAGAAGGGGCAAGACATCTTTCTCCTGGATGCCATATGTCTGTAAAAATAAAGAAGAAAATAAAATTTCCAAACCTAACTTATAAAGTAACCCCCCATTTATCCACTGCTATGAGAAAAAAAAATGTACCTCACACGAATACCCTTTCCAAATTGCTGAAACAAGCTAAATTATAACATGTATAGATAGTCTCCTAAAACATATTATCAGATGTTCTCCTATAATAAGCAGAATAAAGGATATATAATTTATTTCCAATGGTTTTCACCCTGGCTGTGTGTCATAATCTCATACATGCTTGGACACTACCTCTGTTGACTGTGGTTCAGTGGCTATGGGCCATGGGCATCTGGTTGTATGACTTTGTTTGGTGGCCATTGTTGAATTCAAAGGGCCATTGATTCACAGCCAGGGTTGAGAACCACTGATTTAGATATTCATGATTCGTGAACATTATGTATATTATTCATGATATGGTAGACTAATAGTAAATGGGACTTGATAATGAGTAAGCTAAAATCCTCTAGACAGCAATGCTTTTGTGATTCTCCTGTCTGCTTTTTCCCATCTCCTTTCTCTGGAGACAGCTGTTACTTCTCGTCAACACTGCTGCTTCTTTTTTAAAAAAAAATTTTAATTTATTTTTTATTTTTTTCTAGTACTGCTGCTTCTAAACTGTTCCCCGAATTTGTATACAACTAACCAAGGGAATCTCTAATTCAACCACAGAGTGATGTGTGCCAGCTCTGTCACAGCTTTTTTCCCTTCTATGTTTTAAAGGGTTGCAGTTCTTTAAAAAGAGATGAATTCTAAGATCTCTTTTATGCTAAGATTCTATTATTCTTTGAAAAGTCTGACCCCTTTCTCTATATGTATTTATTCCGTGATTAATTGTACAGCTTTCTACTTTATTTTTTTTAAAGATTTTATTTATTTATTTGACAGCGAGTGAGAGAGCACAAGCAGGGGAGCAGCAGAGGGAGAAGGAGAAGCAGGCCCCCCACTGAGCAGGGAGCCTGATGTGGGACTCGATCCCAGGACCCTGGGATTATGACCTGAGCCGAAGGCAGAAGCTTAACCCACTGAGCCACGCAGGCGTCCCGTCTATTCTATTTTCTATTCAGGAAATATAGCACTATGAATAGGGAGGGGAGTATCTTTAGAGCATACAACTAGTATAATTAAAAAATACCAAATAGAGGAAATTAAGTAAAAATAATTTTCTAAATGGAATTTCTTATAGCAAGAATTACAGAGGAGTTGTATGGCTACAGATGTAAGAATACTAGGAATTATTTTTCTCACATATTTCGTATTGAGATCAGATGACCATTAGTAGTTTCTTAGGGTTTTTCCGATGATTTCTTGATAGGTTTTTATAACATTTGTGATTATAATATGACTAGTATATCTACATTCTCTTAAGCATGAATAACTCATTATGCTATTCCTCAAAAGTAAAACCATTATTCCCACTAACTTTGGTAAGGTTATTTTGCATAACAATTAGAAGTACACCAAGAAAAATCTGTTCTCCTACCCTAATGTTTGGACCCAAACTGTTTGAGAACTGTCACACAATTCTAAAAGACATAGTTTTAACATGAACCTAAAACCTTGATCCATTGTACAGGGATAACAGATTAGTGGGCCCTATTTTCGTAACAGTACTTGAGCCTTAAGACCTGAATTAACCCTTATAGCAATTTTTAACACATTATTTCTGTTTCACATGATTTGTTTGCCCATCCAGAAAATGCCTTCCAATTTTTAAAGACTTAAGTCATTAATGTGTTTATTATTCAACATATACATTTTAACACCAATTACCTACCAAATACTCTGTACCACACAATAGGTATAAAATGAAAAAAACAATGTCAAAAATTGTAATGATTAAAACTTGCTCTTTCCAAATCTCATTAAATCTTTCCAAATCTCATTAAATGGCATCATCATCTAGCCAACTTTTCATGATAGAACACATTTAGCCAGCCCTTATTCCTCTTTTTATATTACTCCCTACATCCAAACCATCAGAAAGTCCTGCTGGTTCTCCCTCAAAATCTATCACTTCCCTCCATCATGCTACCGCCTCTGTAATACAACTGTTGGCAAGCTTTTTTGGTAAAGAGTCAGATTTGGGCTACTTATTATTTTAGTTTTGCAGGCTATACTGTCTCTTCCTTGTAACACGAAATCAGGGACAGAGAACACATAAACAAATGGGCATGGCTGTGTTCCAATAAAACTTTATCTACAATAACTATCAGGCTGGATTTGGCCACGCCCATAGTTTGCTGTCCTCTGCCACCTTTGGCTTTCTCCTAAATTACTGCTATAAACTCCTAACCATTCTCTCTGCTGCCACCATTTTCCCCCTACAATCCATTTTACACATAGCAACCATACTATTTAAAAATATAAATTACTGGGGCATCTGGGTGGCTCAGGCGGTTAAGCATCCAACTCTTGATTTCGGCTCAGGTCATGATCTCTGGGTCCTGGCATCCAGCCCCGTGTCAGGCTCCATGCTCAGGGGGTATATGCTTGAGGATTCTCTTCCCCTCTCTCTACCCCTCCCCCTGCTTGCATGCTCTCTCTCTAAAATAAATAATCTTTAAAAAAAATTAAAAATTAGTATATCTTTAATTTAAAAATTTTCAATAGTTATCATTGCATAAAGAATAAAGTACAAACTCCTTAGTATGGCCTGTAAGTCCCACTATGATCTGCCAATACTTACCTCACCAACCCAATCTCCATTTTTCTCTGTACTCGAACATGCTAAGCAAGTCTTCTCTCAGCTGTTTTTATGTCATCTCTTCACCTTATTTAAAGTAGGGTACCCTTTTATTCTGTATCTCAGTATTTTATTGCCTCCATAACTCATATCACAATGTTCAATGACTATGTTTACTTGTTTTTATCTATCTTTCCCACTAGAGAGTAATTTCCTTTCCAGGAAAGTGTCTGTATTTTTCAAGTTTTATCCCCAGCATTGGCACTCAGTAGGCACTCAATAAATGTGCTGAATTTATTACAAAAACACATCCTTGATCTTACAGATCCTAGATATCTAGTGAGGGAGACAGATACTAAAAAGTTCACAAACACGAAATTGTAGCAAGTGCTTCAGGAGATAAGAACAAAGTGCTATGAAAAAGAGTATTGAAGAAGCATAATTTAAAAGGGAAGAAGATCTAAGAAGAGTATCTCTGAGCACACAGCATGTGCAAAGCCCTATGGGCTTCATACAACAATTTCTGGAAATCTATTTGGTTCCTTAGTTTGAATAAATTCTAGAACTAAACAGATTCAGTTAAGTTTGAGCAAAGACTGGAATCTCTCTGTATCAAATTCTAGAACAAATAGCTTAAATTGGGAGGATTTCCTGTAGGGTTGAATGAAGGGTCCTCTTTAACGTCCTTTCCTTTCCTCCTTTATTCCAGACTGGTCTCCTTGCTGTTCCTCAACTATGGCAAGCATGCTCCCACCTCAGGGCCCCTGAGATTTCTATTCCTTCCATCAACGCTCTCCCTAAATACCCAAATAACTGATTCTTTCATTTCATTTAGGTCTCTGCTCCAATGGCATCTCCTCAGAGGTGTTTTCTCTGACCACTGAATCTAAAATAGCACTCCCTGCCACTCTTTCTTTACCCTGCTTAATTCCATTTTTAGAGAAAAATATGGAATATTTGTTATTGTTTATCTCAACTTAGTTTCCTAGAGCAGCGACTTACTTTGTTCACTACTATATCCTGGGCACCTAGAACAATGTTTGAAACTCAAATACTTGTAGAACTAACAAATATTTATACAGAGCTAACATTTGAAGACTTATGTGTGCCAGGCATGTGCTTTATTTCATTTAAGCCTCGCCACTATCCTTTCATGACTTCATGTAAGTAATATTGTTAGTTCCATTTTATAAATGGTGAAACAGATAAAGGTTAACCAACTTCCCTTTGGTTACACAGCTTAAAAATGGCAGATCCCGGATTTGACCCAAGCTATCTGACCTTGTACCTACCATACTGTACCATGCACACATGAATGAACAAGTCCCTGGAACTGAGTAGTCCCTGCTCCTTTTAACTGAGGTCTGAGCACCACAGTCACTACAATCTCCACTCAGCAGCTTCTCTACTTATTTCAAATGCCGGGCTTCTATGGGTTATATTTGTGATCCCTGAGTTATAGTGTCATCAATTCCTAGCCTTCAGAGTTGAGGCTTATTACATAAACCTCTCTAACCTTTAGCTCTGAATTCCTCATCAATTTAATGAGATCGATACCTTCCTCAAAGGAAAGTATGGAGATAAATAATCAGCATATTACTGGGCACAGAACAAGCACTCAATATCTGATGGTTCTTATTATATCACTTTTAATAATGAAAGCTATTAATATGGGGGCAAGAAGGCATCCCATTTGACTTGTTAGATAGCCACACCCTCCTTAAACCCTCTCTTGAGGACCCAATAAAGGTTGACTGCAAGGTCCTGATTCAGTGCATCATATATTAAGGTCTTTGTGTAATCAAATAATGTGAATTGAATATCTCAACCTTTATTCACCTATGTAACTACAAACTTCTACCATTCGCTAAGAACTGGGGTAATACAAGGACAAAGGATAAACACACCACACATTTACTGAATGCTTATTATGGACCTGGGTCATATAAGTGCTTTGCATACACTATCTTATTTCGTAATCACAAGAACTCAGCAATGATCTCCATTTTACAAAGGAGGAAACTGCCCAAAGTTTCTCAGCAAGTAACTGTCAGAGCCAGCACTAGATCCAGTCTGACTCCAGAGTCCAGGTTCTCAACACTGAATCCCAAAGAACTGGTGCCAGACTTCGTCTGTCATTCAGAAGAGCCACAAGGTAAAATCCCAACCCCAAGGGAACTGGCAGGAACGGGTCCAACCCAGCGCAGTAAAGACAGGTGCCTAGGCTGAGAGGCGAGCTCCAAGCTTGTACCTTTGCCGGCGGTTTCCGCGCGAGGCTTGGGGGCAGAGGGATCCATCTGGCCAGGGGGAGGGGCCGGGCAGCCTGGCTGTGTACAATACTCGGCAGGCGGCCGAGGACCTGGAGGAGGAGGCGGGCGGGAAGACTGAGGCCAACGCCACTTCCTGCAGCCCTTCGTACATCGCCCCCCTGAAGCGCGACGCCAGCGGACGAGAGGGAACACAGGTGAAGCCCGAGAGGGTCCAGGGAGAGGGGAGGCGGCGTCCCAGACAGCGGCAGAGCTGGAGAGCGCTGTGGAGGCTGGCAAGGCGGCGCTCACCTAGTCATCTCGCGTTCCGCCGGGGAAGGAAGCAAGCCGGCAAGCGAACCCTTTACCCTCCCTTTCACAGAGGCCCTACCTCTACCTTCCCCTGCAGCTTTCCCCCCTGGCTCGGAAAATCCCGCGAGATCGGGCGCCTGAACTGTCATTGCGGTCTCGCGATAACAAAATCTTGGTTCACATGGGCGGAGCAGTCTTCCTGCCATCTTGACCCCGGGAAGCCGGTAACACAAAGGTCCGCGACCGTTGCAAGTATCGCGAAGTTTGAAATCGCCTGCCTGCCGGGTGCGCATCTTATGGACAACAGAGGGATCTGAAGACACTCGTGGGCTTGCACCTGCGGCAGGCTTTTAAGGGCTGACTTATAGCTGGAGACCGTGTCCGCGATTGCGGCCTGCTGCTGGCTTATATTTAGTACTTCCTCGTGTTCCTCGTGTAGCGCATGCCCAGGAGCTTGAGGCGAGTGACTCCCTCCTGGAGTGCTCAGCGGGTGAGACACCCGCCCGGAAGCCAACGCTTCACGACGCTCGCGGGAGGCTGAGTACTTAGTGGTCATACACTAAAATATAGTCAAAAATAACTCTTGTGACTACAAACCAGCAATACATGCCATAAATAGAAGATTAAGGTAAAAATACTATGAAAATTTAAAGTGTCCGTGTACCATTTACAGTTAGAGTGGTTTGTGAGACATAATGGGAAAACACCAAGCAGGTGGTGGGGCTGTTTTTGTTAAAGCATCATTAGAACAACACACTACTCACAAGTTAATGGATACTACTTTTCTAATACTTTGCCAGACCTTATACGTTGATTCATCCAAAAAAAAAAAAAAATGGTTTCTCCACATGTTAAAATGTTTTCATGTACTGTAGGGTATTTTATTGAACTAGATTTTCTAGAACAGCACAAGAGTATTAGGAATAACACATCTATTATCGTACAGTTCTGTAAGTCAGAATTCTTACTTGGGTCTCATTAGGCTAAAATCAAGGAATCAGCTGGGCTACATTCTTTTCTGGAGGCTCTCCAGCAGAATCCGTTTCCTTGCCTTTCTACACATTCCTTGGTTCATGGCCACCTTCTGTCTTCAAAGCCAGAGTTGTTGCCCCTCTGTGCGTCCAAGTCACATCTTCTTCAGATTGCAGCTGGGTAAGATTCTTTGATCTTATGATCAGATTGAGTCTACCTGAATAATCCAGGATAATCTTCCCATTTGAAGGTCTGTGCCCTCAGTTATATCGCAAATTCCCTTTGCCAGGTAAAGTAATATATTCATGGGTTCCAAGGATTAGGATGTGAACATCTTTAGGGGCTTATTATTCTACCTACCAAAGGGTCTAAATGAGGAAAGCTATGTCTATTTGCTGCCAATAGGTATCTATTCTTTGAGAGATACTAACAATTAGCAATATGTTTTCATAAAATCCTTCATCTAGAATAGCCCTTGTTTCTTTTTACCATCAGGTAGAAACTTTGTATCTAAGGTAACATCTAATTCACTCACTGTGTGTGAGATATTGGCCCTCACATGGTTGAGAAGTTACATCATTTAACCTCATTGCATCAGTGTCCTCACCCATGACAACAAAGAGGCAAGTAACAGTAACGTACATGAAAAAGTGTTGTTGTAAGTATGAAATAGGATAAGTAAAACATCTAAAACAGTACCTGGTCGTAGGAAGGAACATGTGGATTGCAATTACTGTTGTTATCAATGGAATGCATCCACTTGTAAGTTGCATTCTACATAACCACTGCTTCATTTTAATATTTTGGCTAATAGTTGGTAGTACATTATTACTTAGATTAGAATTTTAGACTGCATTCTAACTTAAAACACCATGGATTGTAAGGCATATTATTTAGGTACAGCTGAAAAAAAGAAAAAACTGCTCATTATATAAATTGTAACTTGATTTTTAACATGCATCCTGATACTGGAAATTTTTAAATGTAGGGAAAAAATCTGCTTCTTGGAATTGATGAAATATGTCTTTTTTACTTAAACTCTTTTCACATTGTCTCCAAAATTAATGGCAATTAGAAATTTCAACCAAGCTTACTTTTTTCTTTTTACAGCTACCAAAAAGTTTGATTGTTTCCTCCCACTAAAATAACTAGTTGTGTAATATTGTCTTATTTTTCCAGAGGTCTACTAATTTAAGACCTTGATTTTTTATTTTTTTAAGGGTTTTTTTTTTGAGAGGGAGAGAGCATGAGGTGAGGGAGCAGAGGGAGAGGAAGAAGCAGGCTCCCCACTTAGCAGGGAGCCTGGCACCCTGAGCCAAAGGCAGACGCTTAACTGACTGAGCCACCCAGGCACCCCAAGACCTTGATCTTTAAGGGCTGACATCTAAATAGAAGTGATAAAATCAGAAGTAAATTTTTATTTAAATGAGAGAGGTCATCTGGTTGAAGGAATACTCTTGTGACTAACAGAGGAGGAGGGGGCCTCAATTTCTGAGTATTAATTATTTAACCTCACCACCATGTTTATGATGCATAGTGAAGCAGAAAAAAATCATGACATTAAAAATATGTTTTAGTGAATTAGATGCCTCACAAAATTAGATATCCTTAAACATTCCTTCCCCCACTAACAGTTTTTGTCTAAGGCCATTGCAAGGACATCCTTGTCTAGGTGCTGATGTTGTACACATCTAATACTGTAATGCTAATCACTGCAAAGTGAAATTGAAAGTCTTGCAAAATATTTGGGAATTCCTAAAGTCAATATAAATGATCTTGGATAACTAGAACATGTGCAAAACCATTGGCAAAGGAGAAGCTAGCAAAATTAAACTTATTAAAACTACAAAAAGAGAAGAAACAGGATGATAGCATAGACATTTGTAAAGAATATTACTTGAATATCAAAGAGACCCTTGAGAAAAATGATTCTAATATTTTATCAAAGAAATTTTTTTGTGTTTGCAATGCAAAAATTAAATATATATCTATATGTGGTTCATAGACCTCCAAAGTTGTGTGTTAATTCAGCAGAAAAGCTCAAGAAAAAAAAATAGGTGTGTATTTCAGTTCGTTTGGCTGCTATAATAATACAGATTGGGTAGCTTATAAACAACAGAAATCTATTTCTCACAGTTCTAGAGGCTGGGGAATCCAAGATCAAGGCATCAGCATGGTTGTGTTCTGGTGAGACCCCTCTCCCTGATTCATAGCTGGCACCTTGGTATGTCATCATACATTGGAAGGGGTGAGAGAACTCTGTGGTATGTCTTTAAGAGTACTAATTTTATTCATGAGGGCTCCACATGTGTGTATGTCATCACTTTGGGCACTAGGATTTCAGCATATTAATTTTGAGGGGACACGAACATTCAGATCATAGCAATATGAGAACTTTGAACTTGGAAGTTTCTTAGATGATTTTAGGTTGTAGCATTTCTCCCTTGATAAAATGTCCCAGCCACTGTGTCAAGGGAGAGAAAGGAAGAATAGGTGAGCAAGAGAAAGGTAGACATGGTAGAAATAGATGTGTCCTTTATCAATAAGTAATCTATAGAGTTTAAAAGGCAACATTATTCAACAATATGAATATACTTACCATTTCTGAACTGTACACTTAAAAATGATTAAGAAGGTAAGTTTTAAGTTTTCTGTATGTGTGGTTTTTTACTACAATAAAAAAAAAAAAAAACCCTGGGTCAACAAAAGGACAATTTAAAACTTGAGCCAAGTGTAGTGAAAGATATAGTGAATGGCAGGTTAGTGCTAGGAATGTGATGATTCTTACATCTTGAACCTTCACCAATGCCATTTTTACTTAACAGACTCAGTGAAGAAATCTCAGAGGTCCTCAATCCAATGCTCTAACTTAAAGATAATAAGATAATTTGAGAAATGTTAGCTTATTTTACCAAGGTCACAAATAGCAAATAACAAAGTCAGGATCAGAATACGATTCTTCATTCTTGTTCCAATATGATAGGTGTATAAAAATACTATTTCATAGAAGATATTTTTAAATTTGAAAAATTAAAACCTATGATTCAGTTTCTTGTACTATTCCATATCTCATGTCATGTAATAAGCCTAAAAATTCTGCAACAAAACACCAAGACCTGCAGGTTGAAATACTATTATAAAAACACCCAAAATGCATTGCTGAGCAAAAAAACAAAAAAGGTAAAATACTCATAGGCCAAAAATAAGGAGGAAACTGAAAACCAGCTTACTGAAACTGCTGTACTGGAGGCATTTGCCCATCTCAGTTACAGAAAGGTCTGAGTTTATCTGTCTTGTGGGGACAGAAGACATGGTGTGAAGCTCTTACAAGGTCACAATTTGGAACTGAGACCCTCATTTGAAATCAGAAACCCTGAAAGTCAACACCCTCAGTGAAATTACTGGGTAGAAGAAAATCTGGAAAGCAGAAAAGGGGGAGGATGAAGAAGAGAGACTTGTCTGTCATGGCATGGGCTCTTTGGGCTGGGTTTTGTGTGTGTGTGTGTGTGTGTGTGTGTCAATGTCCTTTTACATTTTGAAACCACTACCATATCCTCAAATGGATTTAGGATTTGAATTCACATAACCTGTATGATCTAGGAAACCCCAAGCCAAGATAATAACATAATGTAGTGTCAGGTTAATTGCATCCAGGTTGGAAGAAGGAAGCAAGCTCATCTTCTCTGAAGGAAAACATGTTAAAACAAAGATTCCTCAAAGTTACCAGAGATAAATCCCAAACAGTTCATAATTCCCAAACTGTAAAAAAAAAAAAAAAAAAGAAAAGAAAATGCATAAAACAAGCCACCATGAACAAAAGCCGGCAGGAAAAACATGCAACAGAAATAGACTCTTAGTGATTTCAGTTAACAGAAGTATTAGATACAAGTGTTTGTGTGTGATTAAAATATTTACTGATATATTTTGAAACTGAAAACATGGAAAGAAAAAAAGACACTGTCAGAAAACAGCAAATAGATTTGTTAAAAGAACCAGAACTTCTGGAAATGAAAACTTTAATTACTGAAATTAAAAACTAAGGTAAGTTAAACAGCAGATTAAACACACCCTCATAGAGAACTCATGAACTGAAAGATCTAAAGAAATGACTCCAACTGCAGAGCAGAAAGTCAAGTGGAGAGAAGCCTGGGTGGCTCAGTTGTTTAAGTGTCTGCCT